TAAAAAAAATATAGAACAATATTATTTACTTAGGAATTATAATGAACATAATTACCTTTGCAATCTGTATTTAAATCTAATAACGGTACAAATTTTCCTTCCATGCACTCGTCTTTATGACACAACACAATTCTTAAATGGTAATTTGTCAGAATTTTTAATTTATCAAGTGATATATATTTGTCATTTATATTTTTGCCAAAAATAACTTTCCAATTTCCGGTTTCATATACTTCCACCTTGTATGAATCTGGACTGTTGCGTCCTACATACTTCTCCGGATTAAATTTTATATTACATGTAGTGTAACAAGGTGTTTCAGCAACAGGGGTTTCTTTTAAATATGGTAAATTAGCTGAAACATGCAATTAAATAATTAATTATCTTTAATTGAATATAATAATTATGATTTACTCTCATTGCAGAATGGCTCTACGAAATACATTTCACATCCGTTCGGACAGTTTCCAGTAATATGATGACATTGCGCCTTATTTTTGCAGTTACCACATTTCTCATTACAATTCGATCCAAATACGTTTGCCTTCAGGTTGTCGCATTCTTAAAATAAATACATTCATTATTTTTGTGTGTGCGATTATATTTGTATGTACTTGGTTTGCAATGTTTTCCATAGTATCCCGGTTGACAGTAGCATTTGTTTGTCTCTACACAGGTCAGCGTTTCCTCGCAAATATCCGTGTTAAAGACAGATTTACATTCGATGCAGTCGTTTCCAAATTTATCGATTGAACAATTGCTACCTGTAAAAATATAAATTACAAACGAGAAAATAATATTGTACAAAATATAATACCTATTGTTTTAATATTATCGCCTATTGTAATGGATGAACTCGGATTGTTCAAAGATTCGCAAGAAACTTGATTTATTAGATTAGTATAAAATTCCGTATAAATTTTATTGATATTCGTATCGCAGTCTGAATTCAGTTTAATATGACTAAAAAGAAGATCACTCTGCTGTCTGTATTTTAACGAAAATATGTATGATGTATTATCGTCTTGCAC